ATGAAAAAAGCTAGTATTTTCATTTTAAAGTTCTCTCCAAAAGAAGAAGAGATTCATAGCATATTATGTCCTTGCCTCCTCTCAATTCTCATGATTGAAGCTTTTGTTTTGGAGTTTACTTTGTGTCTTCCTTTATGTCTTATTTTGATAAGAACTTAAAGGCTTAAACAATAAAGTATTACAAGAGGAAACTAGCATTTATTGGGGCCTTATTCTTGATCGTGGATACTTATAGACAATATCATATTCTTTGATCTTTACATCTTCACCAATACCCCAAAACCAAGTGGGTTCAAAGGCTCCAAATCTTGTCTATGCTCACTGGGTTGACCCGGGTTGGGTTGACTTAGTTGACTTATGGATTTTGACCAGTTTGACCTTGGACTCGGATTCTTGATGACATCATTGACTTTTGACCAAGTTTGACGTAGGTCAAACTTGAGGGTTTAGATTAATGATTGAGTATGTTGATAGGTTGTGGTGATCTGATAGATCTGTATTCCCGTGTCAAGTATGCTGCTATGTTGTAGTGATCTGTTAGATCTGTATTTTGATATAGAGTATGTTGATAGGCTATGGTGATCTGTTAGATCTGTATTCTAGAATTGAGTATGTTGATATGTTGTAGTGATATGTTAGATTGGTATCCTAGTATGTAAGATGTTGCTATGTTATAATGCACTGTTGGACTTGTATATTATATGTATTTACTGGTTATCATCTGGTGGAGTACCCTAGGGACTGCTTGTGGCTCTGTAGGATTGCCTAAGAACTCTTGGTCTAGGCTCTCTTGCATGTTCCTTTTTTGGTTGTGGATCTGGAGTAGGATCATATGTTCGGGTGGCTATCTCACCTCTAGCTACTTGTGGTTACGCATTTCACGGAGGTTAGCTAGAAGTGGGACTGTGTATTGTGAGAGATTAGCAGGCAAGAGTGAGTTGTATGATTTTTGTTTGCCTGCTTGATCTTTGTTTGTTACCTGTCGACATATTGTGGTGATGGGTTTAGGAGATCCTGCTTTGTGTTGTAGGCCAAGATACCTAGTGTGGGTCGGTTGTGAGCTGAAGGCACGAAGGCTTTGGTAAGAACGGTTGGGTTGAGTTGGTAGGCCAACAAACCCTGATATATCATAGAACAGATCAGATAGGCTGAAGTCACGGTGAGGCATTCCAGTCATGATGAAGGTTATGTGAGTGGTCCAGATAGTTTGTAGGTCAGTGCGGCGTTCCAGTCAGGTTGAAGGCTTCGTATACGTGATGTCATATGTTACGTGTATGTAGTGGTATTTTGGTGGAAACTCATTAAACTTTATTTTTACCCAGTTGTTTATGGTTTCAGGTATCATCGGTGATTGCGGGAAGGCGAAGGCGGGACTGTACACACTCATCGACAACATTGAAGATTTCGCGTTTTCTACAATACTCTGATTTTAATAAATGTAATTTGAAATAAATGGTTTCCCTTTAATAATGGATTAATAAATTGGGAAGTTTTACCTTAATAAAAATGAAAAATTTTGGTCGTGAAAATGGGACGTTACAAATATAAATATAATTTACACTTAAAACTTAGTAAGTACAGCTTAACTTACGAGAGTTTCTGGCAAAAGTTTGGAAAGTCGTGGGCAGAACTTCTACTTTAAATACTTCTTTCCGTCAGGCTTTCTATTGTTGGGTGACAACAAAATAAGTTAAACACTTTAGACAAATATCAAACAAACTTCGGTGAACTCGCAAAAAACTTTTGAAAAACGTAAATCAAAAGAACATAATATTTAACGTGGTTCGGTCAATGTGACCGATGTCTACGGGCGAAAGAGAGAGAGAGAGAGAGAGAGAGAGAGAGAGTTATTAACTTTCTAGAACTATTATAAACACTCAAAATTGTATCTCACTTTGAGTTCTCAAAAAAAATCTAGTAATTTACAATGGTAAGGATATGAGCCTATATATAGGCAAGCATGGGAAACCTTAATTCTGATGGGTCAGGCATGTCCATAATCAGCCCATTTAAGGGGATATCCTAATTTCCAACCAATCACAGAGTGTATGAAGATGCTTCTAGAACCTTCAACCTCATGAGCATCAACCAAACACATGATGGAGCACCATGAGGCATAATGGAGCATCATGATCACTAGTGGCCCAACATCCATCATGGTAGCACAACATGGTGTATTCCTTGAGCATCACCAACTTCTGAGAAATCCTAAATAATCTTTATGCAAGGATGGCGCAACATCCTTCAAGTATGGCACAATATCTTCTACTTTTGTGAAACATCTATCATTTTGGTTCAACATCAATCATTTTGGTGCAAGATATTCCATGAATGGCGTAACATGTATCATGAGTGGCATAAGTTGGTCCACGCTGCTCCAAATGGCACAACTATGCATATAGTTGCTCCATTCCACTCACAAGTGCTCCAAGTTACTCCAAATTGATTCTAAGTGATCCATGTTAGACAAGACTTCATACCTCCAAGATCTCATGCCTCATTGCTTCTCTAAAGTGCTCATAAACTTAGAAATATTGGATTTGGGCTGGGGGAAGTCTCCATAAAGAATTTGAGGAAAAGTTGTGAGAAAATGAGCAAAATTTGAGTTCTATTTGTATAGGCGGCAACGGTCACTTCCTATTGTGACACATAGGGCTAAGTGAGTGGGGTTGTGTCACTCATGTCGGGTAAATTCTCAAATCTTCGAAAAATCATATATTTAGCATACGAACTCCATTTTCGATATTGGTTTCATATCAAAGAGTACTACAACTTTCCTTTAGATTTCGTCGGCTAATTTGCATTCTATTTTTATTTTAAACTTTAAAGTCTATAAGGAATATATTATAAAAGACTTTATGAAGTTCATATCTCCTTTATACAAACTCGGTTCTCAAAGTTCTTTATATCCACGGATTCGTATTTACGAAAACATCACCTTTAGTTTAGATTGTTTGCTAACAAGTGAGCGATCTTTGTTTCATCTTTTTATAATACACATTGTTGTATCGGGTTAAATGTGAAACTTTGAAAAATCATAACTTGTTTATACGAAGTCAGATTTTGACATTCTTTATACTTACGAGTTCGTAATCACAACCACTACAGCTTCCGTCAAGACTATTTATCCTAAAATAATATTTTTGTTTATAAACATTGTTTTATCACTCTTCAATAATTTTATAAAAAGATTTATACAAATATTATATATTCATAATATTTACCCACATAACGTGTATATAATAAATAATAAATAAACATTTATATAATTCGTAACACGAATAAAAATTATCCAAATCATGGATTTTACTAGTTCAATATGTTTATTACTATTTCTTAAATGTCGAGCCATAACCCACAAACGTTACATTAGTCACAAATCGATCTCCAGTTAGATAAGGTTGTTTGGCTTAGTTTTTTAGAGGCCAAAAGATCTTTTTGGAAAAGTTACAAGTCAGGTTTTTTTTAGGGCTGTTCACTATTTGGATAAAACCAAATTGGACAATTGGACAATTTTGATTGGACTATTTGGTTCGGATATTCGGATTTTTGGATTGGTTTTCAACAAAATTGAGTTATTATTTTGGATTTCGGATTGGTTTTGGTTTATAAAATAAGAACCGAATAGTCCAAAAAAACCGAATAAACATTTATTATTTATTTTTATATATATATATATATATATATATATATATATATATATATATATATATATATATATATATATATATATATATATATATATATATATATATATATATATATATATATATAGTTATCTATTAATTTTGTAATTTGTTTTTTTCAAATATGTTCAAAACATTTCACCCGATAAAAAAACATCAATATGTATTATCTCTCAAAAATTTTCTATCTATAAAATATTTAACTATAATATATCTGCTTAGTAGTTGTTTATAAATTTCAAATCACAAATAAATAATTTTTTTCGTTTCTTGTGTAAAATTGAGTAATATTATAACTATATGTTGTTTTAAAATGTTTTAGTTTTTGAAAACCGAATTATAAAAACCGATCTAACCGAATTGTAATTGGATCGGATCGGATTTGAATTTACTTTGGATTATTTGGATCCATATTTTGAAAACCGAAATCAATTTGATTTCACTTGATTGGATCGGATCAAACCGATCCATCCAAACGAACACCTCTAGTTTTCGTAACTTTTCCAAAAAATTGATTTTCCTTCTTTACAAACTCCAAAAGTAGTTTTTAGAAATCTTTTACCAAATATCTTTTGCCTATAATTTTTTTCTACAAAAACTTTTGACCATTCAAAATCTAAACCAAAACCAAACACCCTCTTAGTTCCACATCAATCTCAACAACTAAAAGTCGGTCCCAGCCTCCTAGGTCCCAAGTCGGTTGAACCATTTTGAACGATGCATGAACCAGTATTTACTAACAAAAATACTTTTTTTGGGTTCACGTAAAACTCATCCGCAACAATCTCAAAAACCAAATTATGCCTTTTAAAGTTGCTTTGCCTAGCACATGAAATAGTTGTTTATATAAGGCCTTTTGTGCCTTTTGGTTCCTTCAAGACACCGATGTGGGATGAGGAAGCAATACAAACACACCTCCCTTCATTTTTTACTAAATTTTTGTGTCTTTTGTTTCCATTTTTAATTTATTTGTTTTTATTTTGTTTGTAATATTACAATTAATGATTTGAATATCAAATGCCTAAAAAAATCTTTTGTAATAATCAATGAAAGATGTTATCTACAAAATAGATCTTGTAATAAAAAATTTTGAAGTGATTGATTAAAAAAAAACCGAAAAAGCCCAAATCCGAACCAAAAAATACACACTCAAAACAAAAGGACCAAACCAAAAAAGACTGAGACCGATCCCAAAAAGACCGTCCGAAACTGATCTTAAAAAAAAAAAAAAAAAAAAAAAAAAAAAAAAAAAAAAAAAAAAAAAAAACCGTTGTGAGGCCGGTTCTAAAAACATCGGATGTTTCGAGACGGTCTAGGAAATAATGGCCCTTTTCCATCAAACTTTGAGGTCAATTACATTTACAAACTAGCATTCGGATCTTGACCTTAGTGTCTTGAAAAATTAAAGGAGGGTTACTTTGAATATCATATACAATTAAATAAACATTTAAGCTTACAAAACCAAATTATAAAGAAAATAATAACATCGTAAATGAATAGTAAAACACCAAATTTAGTGTTTTATCGAAAATGATCCAACACCAAAAAGGTATAAAAATTGAGTTTTGGTGTTTGGTTGAAGACGACATCAGACATAAGCACCATCCACCAGTTTATCTACTCCTCCTTCCCTCTCTACTTTCTACAAAACAATCTTCTATGGTTGTTCCTTATAAAAAAAAAACTCATCATCATGTCCAAACACATTCCATTCCCTGAATTAACATTTCTTTGCTCAATGAGATTCCATTCCCCCCAAGGATTACTTGATTACATCAAGGATTGAAGATATTTGAGCCACCCATGTTAATAGCTGTTACTATTGTCATGATCGTGATCACACCAAGCCATAATAAAGCTGATCCTGCAAGCAATTCTATAGTTAGTCAAAACCAAACACATGTAAACAATTAGAGCAAGTGAAATGTAACATTATGTGACCAATACCTCCGGAGTCAGTCTCGGAATCAGGTGAAGAAACTAAGTCAGGAATCACCGAATCCGACGTATCAATGGAAGATTTACTCATTGCTGTTTCGGACGCCACAATTCCTTGAAACTCTTCACTCACAATCAAGGCTGCTAAAACATCAATGAGTGATTCTCTTTCTGTCCCACGTGGGGAAGGATTGTATGTAGTGCCAGTTGACTCTAATTCCTGGAACTCATCATCTGATGCATCGATCTTTTCATCTTCTTCATCTTCAACATAGGCTTTATATGTGAGTCTCAGTAGGATCTCACCAGCAGATCCCTTGTTCAACATCCCCCAGCCTCCTTGGAGAGTCACAATTCTGTCAGTTGGAACTGTATCTTTTAACAATCCCAAGTCAACCTGAAAAAATGATTCCATTTTTAGGTGACACTAAAAGAAACATGTGATTGATTGAGTAATAGATTTAAAGATTTACCTCGCCTGACCCAACTGTCAAATGTATAAATCCAAAAGAATCCTTCACTTGAATTGTTAGTTTCTCTTTTCTTGGATTTGTAACTAGCATACTGAAATCCTGTCATAAAAAAAGAAAGAATTAACTTTTGTCTCATTGACATCTGTCTTTGTCAGTACAGTACAACCTGTTCTGTCATGTCATATCATGTCAAGCTCACCTGGTTCCATATAGGCTGGCCAGGGGGCCCAATCACAGTTGTCCTACTATTCTTTTTACTGTGTATCACTTGATCTCCTAGTCTTAATTCAACATACGGATCCGTTTTTCCTAAATAAGAAAGTATGGGTCAGAATGTAAAATTATAATAAAGGGTAAAGTTGGAAATTCGCATAACATAGAAGACTCACCATAAAAGACGTAAGAGAGCTTCCGGGCATCAACAAGAGTGACTGAAAGTTCACCAGAAAAATCCTTGTTTCCTTCTTGCATTTCACCCGACTTGAAATCGTTTTGTAATGGGCCCACTGCTTTCCCCTTTTGAAAGTCTAACACAATCTTCTTAGGACGCACAAATAGTAGAGGCAAATCTTCTGTTAATAGCTTTTTCAAAAACCTAAAAAAAATTCCAAGATACATCCAAATTAAATATCGACATAGCCCTATTATAAAATGTGCATTTAACCCTATTATAAAATGTTATACAAAATCATATGATTGTAAGGAGAAGCCACTTACATTGAAAGTATAGGGATAGCTGGTGTTACATCAATATATGCAAGAATAGAAAAAGGTACAAAAATATGTTAGTAATATATCTTAAAACAAACGTAGGTGTGATTAAGAAGTAATAAAAATGGCATACCCATAAGATTAAACAACCGAAATGGTGACAATTCGAACTTTATTTTGGGAAGTGACACAAAAGCCCATGAAACAGCTCCAACCCAAGGCTCAGTTGGAATTAATCGTAATTTAACCCAAAGTTCACCATCAATATCAAAATCTCTAATGCCAACAGGAACTTTAATTGGAATAATCCCAAATTTTAGTGTCAACATTAGAAGCATTCGAGCACCACCAGTGTAACGAAGACCTATTTGATACCTTCAAAAAGTAAAACAAGATTTTGAACATAAAAACTTCAGCATTATTAGGGACAACCATGGAAGTGGGAATAGAATAACTTACTGTAAATCATTGTTGCTGCGTGAAGTTCTGCGTTCAACGTTTCTAACTACAAAAGGCTCGTTTCCAAGGGAAAACTGCTTGATTTCAACTCTTTTGACATAATCGGGTTTTTTAAGGTCGTCAATAACGGGTTGAAGTAAACCGATGACCCAATTTTCGAGTCCACCTCTGTAAACCTTCCATAGCTTGCTTAACACCATGTTTACCCACTCGACTGATTCCTTCCTCTGTAAATCCTTCTCGAGAAACAGTGAAAAACTTGTGGGAACTTGTGGCCATGTTGCCGGATTCCCGACCTCATCGTTGTTCTTACGTTTTCTTGATGTCCAAAGCTTATCGAAGAGAATCCCAAAAACAAAAAAGAAGAGAAATAATCCACCGATGTTTCGATTGAGAGGAGGAAAAGGGAGAGGGTGTATGAGCCCAAGTTGAGATCTTAGTTTACCTACAATGGGGTCTTCTGTAAATCCAGTGAAGTCGTTGGAATAACTCGATTGAACGGAATCGTGAGACGAAGATTCACCAGCTTTATCTAATTCATTTGAAATTTGATTCTCTGCGAAACTTTTCAAATTTTGATTCTTTCCATCGATGGGAACCATACAAGCCCAAACCAGTCCCGTTTTTCTTCTCCTTGAAACTTTTGTTCTACAAATGGAGGTCTTGATTTTTGTTCTTGTTCTCGTACTCGAGCTCAATTGGATTGTATTCTGACATGGGCAGATGGGTGATGATGACATCCATAAAATCTTGGAAAAATCAAAGCTTGCAGATGATGATTGAGAAATCATTTGAATGTGATAGAAACTTGACACACATAGAAATCAAAATCGAAATAGAATCAATAAAACCAAATGGGGAAAACGGATTTAGGAACCCTAAGTAAAGAACAAGAGTTGATTTGGTCAATCAAGTTTCGAATTCCGGTGTGGGTATTGCAGAAAGTTGAAGAACACATAACCTGGAGTGGATAGTTGTGGGAGCAAACGAATGGGATTGAACTTGTGAGCAGTAGCAATTTCCATTGTAAATTGATCTGATTTTGTTGCCAAGAAAACTGGAGGAAAGAAAGAGAAAACGCGAAGTCGGTCCACAGATATTCAAGAAGTTGACAAATTGTGTGATTTACTTAATAGTTTCACAAATCATGAACCACTCAAGAAAATCGTGGCAAAATAAGAAGATGGGGGAAGTGGGAAGGAGGTGCACAATATACACGTGGTGCGAAACGACGCGGGCTACATTGGTACCGAAGTTTGACCCGATTCCATGGTGATTCTTCCGCCCCATATTCTTGTTGAGTTTGCTGTTAATGTTGGCCAATATTTGCGTTTCAAATCGTGGATTTTGGGGAATATTTGTACAGAAATAATCGAATTTTTTAGTATTAGACAAAAGTAATCAGGATGATTATTGGAAATAAATAAATAAAATTATAAATCGAAATTTTCAGTATAGATCCGAAATAATATTTTTTCATTTGTGTCCAACATTGGGGAAAAAAATTCTTTCGATCTCTACCTCCAAAATATTTAGAATCATTGGTTTTTCAACTAAGTTGCATTTTTTGTGCCCTTAAGGTTCTTTAAATCTTACAAGATTTTAGTTGAGTAACATTTTAGATTTTAAAATACCGAAAATATTATTCGGGTTTATTAATGGAAAATATTAGAATATTAGAAGATAATAAGTATTTCACAAGATTCTTATTTATCTCTTTCCTTGGCAGCAGTGGATATTTTCTCCTTTATTTTTGCTTGTAATCATCTATATAATAAAGTAAAGGATATTCCTCCATCCCATTCAATGGTCCAGATTATTAATTTCTACAGGGTTCATACTTTGAAATGTTAATCTTTAACATTGATTTGCAGATATAAAAACGTTACATATTTTTTCTCTTTTTGTTATACTTTGAACCATACTTTGAAATGTAATAACTCAACATGTGAATCTTTCAGCTACTTGAGATCACTATCATTTTCAACTTTCAGTTTAAACAGAGGGAACCGAGTTCTTGGCTCCAAACAGGTTAAGAACCTGCAATGTGTGAAAGGCTTTTCTTTATGTGTGGTGAAATAATACATAATATGGCTACCCAAAAAGTAACAACAATGTTTGACCCTGGTGAGCATCAGGGGTCTATCAAATGTTTGAATCCCATCATCATTTCCTTCCTTCAGCTCTCTGCTTTATATTACTTGTACAACTTGCTGATGTGGAAGAGAGATGATGCTAGGGATGGGAATGATGGGAAATGAACCCTTTAAAGAGTTTAAATTAACATTAAAAGATAAACCACTTTTCTTCATTTCTTGTGTGATACTCATCACATCCTCCCTTCTTCTCGCCCCATGAAGCAAAACTGTATATGTGTATATATCAGGTTTAAAACCCTTATTGTTCATGTCATCAAAAAGATTTTCATTTACCCTACAATAACCATTTAACATCATCGTGTATGTAACAACATCAGGTATAAATCCTTTCTGAATCATTTTATCAAAAACCCATGTAGCCATTTGCATGTCTTCAATACGACATAATAAATATATAATTTCATTATACATCATCTTACATGGACCATTATCTAAAGCTCCAAACTTGTGAAATATATGCATCTTGTAGCGTTGACTCTTTTACAAAACCTCGAATGATAGAAGTATAAGCAAAAAGATTAACTGGCTGATTTGACTCCCTTAAACCTTTTAGTCTTTGAAAGGCGGAAACAGCTTTTCCATTGGAGCAAAGCCCATCAATATAGATGCCAATACTGAAAGCATTAGGCTCCACTCTACCCTCTTCCATTTGTCTAAACACATCCATAACTTCATCAAAACAACCCTTTCTGCAAAGCCTTTTAATCCTAATCCCAAATGCATACACATTTGGAATCAACCCTTTCACCTTTATTGTAAGTCGTTTGGTAAAATAAAGTTTTGTTTAATCGGTTTTTGGTTTAACTAGTTTGATTTATTTGGTTTGGTTTACAATTAGATACAAATAACCTACATTTGCATCTCAAGGAACTTGGTGTTCTTCATGTTATTTGGTCATTAGACAATTTTGGTAAAAGTTAATGTCACGAGTAATTACAAGTTTCAATGAGGTTAAATGTTTATACATTGTAAGTTACGATTTAAATGAATTAAGAAACTGAAAATAATATACAATAACACTCTTTGCATGAAAACTTTATACAAAAGTTTCAAACCTGTAAAGATGTACTCTAATGATCAAAATTACACTTTCTTGATCACCACTTCAAGTGCTCTTATTGTACTTTTATTCAACTGGATACCCTTTGATATCATCTCATCAACAAGTGCTACAGCATGATTCCTATACCCCTGATGACATAAACCACGTGCAAACACAGTGTATGTCACAGTATTTGGTTCAACACCTTTATCTTTCATTTCTTTAAACAGCAAAACAGCTTCTTGTAAGTTGTTCAACTGACAATGCTTGTTGATCACAACAGTGTAGCAATTAACATCAAAAGATAAACCATTCTCCTTCAACTCATCTGTAAGATCCTTCACATCCTCTTTTGTTCTAGCTCCATGAAGCAAAACTGTATACGTGTATATATCAGGTTTGATTCCCCTGTTTTTCATGTCAAGAAAAAGATTATGGGCTTCATTTAACCTATTCACCCTGCAGTAACCATATAACATCATGGTGTATGTAACAACATCTGGTGTAAATCCTTTCTGAATCATTTTGTCAAAAATGACCCTAGCTGTTCGCATATCTTCAACACGACATAACAAATATATAATTTCACTATACATTGTCTTACATGGACCATTATCTGAAGCTTCAAATTCTTTATATAGTTTCATAGCTTTTTTAGTTTCACCTTCTGCACAAAGACAACTTAGAAGTTTCAAACAAGAAGCCCTTTTTGCAAAAAGTCGTTTCTCAGAGAATAAAATCTCAAAGGCATCTGTAGTATTGTTTGCTTCACAGTATCCGTTCATCATTGCAGCATAGTTATCCAGGTTTTTAGGGTGTAAACTATTGAAATAAACTTCAGCTTCTTTTGTCTTTTCTCCTTTACATAACCCCTCAATGATCACATTATGTGTAATACTGGAAGGTTCTAAACCTTGTGTTTGCATATCATGTAAAAGATCAATTGTGTCTTCAAAACTACCGAATCTTGATAACCCACTAGCAAGAACATCGAAAGTGATAAAATCTGGTTTCAATCCATTCGATTTCATCTCTTCAAAGATTTCATATGCATTCCAAGGTTCTTCATTGAGGTAGTACCCTTTGATCAAAGTGGTGTAATGCACAACATCTGGTTTCATGTTCTTACCTTTCATGTCATTAAACAACTTCATGGCTTCATCCATTTTCTTAAGTTTACATAAAGCATCAATCGCGATATTAAACGAGATTTCATCAAGGAAAACTCCTGAGTTCATGATATCAAAGAACCATGATACAGATTCAACCAGTTTGCCCAAACCACACAAGCATTGCATTATCGAGCTCACAATCACACAATTGGTTTTAATACCTCTTGATTCCATTTCTTCATAAAGATCCAATGCCCTAAGAATGTCGCCTTTCTGACAATACCCTTGAATTAACACACAATAACAATCTGCATCAGGGAAAATTTCTGTATGTAACATGTCAAGCAAGGCATTTTCTACATCTTCTAGCTTTGACTCTTTTATAAAACCTCGAATGATAGAAGTATAAGCAAAAAGATTAACTGGCAGATTTGAGTCCCTAAAACTTTTTAGTTTTTGAAAGGCGTGATCCGTTTTTCCTTTTGAGCAAAGTCCATCAATGTAGGTACCAAAAGTGAAAGCATTAGGCTCCACTCCAGCCTCTCCCATTTGTCTGAACACATCATTGGCTTCTTCCAAACAACCCTTTCTGCAAAGTCCTTTAATCAGAATCCCATAAGTATACACATTTGGAACTAACCCTTTCATCTTCAATTGTCTGTAAACTGATTCTACCATGTCCAGTTTGTCCCACTCAATCAACTGGTTCATTAGATAATTACATGTTCTTGTTGAAAGCACAAGTCGACCCCTTTTTATCTTGTACAAGGTATCTATGGCGTCCTCAAATCTTCCAACACGTGCATACACCTTAACCAACACATCAATGGCTTTTATCAGTTTTTCTATCCCCTCTATCTCAATCTCTTCTATCAATGCATCACACAGATCCGAAATTTCAAAACTAAGAAGTTCCCCGTTGTTATTATCAATAACATCCATAAACAAAGAATATAACCTAATATCCATACCCCAATGACACAAAAATCGAACAATTGCCATATAACTTACTACATCATGCTTAAAACCAGATTCTTTCAGTTGAGTTATAAATGACAACCCAATATTGGGTTCTCTGTTTAACTTGTGCAAGGTTTCAATAACTTCAAACTTATCGAGTTTATCAAGCGGTCGACAGACCAAACTGGTATTGTTTTCGTCAGAAGATGAGTCTGACACGTCGGAACTACTTAATTGGGCAAGGGATGAAACGAATTTAAAGCGGAGAGTCATGGAATTTCTTACCAGATTACGGCAAGAAGCTAACCTGATAAGAGGAGGCAACATAAGATTTAAGGTTAAGTATCTGAGAAGAACATGGAAATGGACGTTCTTTAAGCGTTTGCAGAACAACCATACGCCTTCCTTCGGCTTCCTAATAGCAAACTTGCTATTATGTTCTTTTTTCTGGATTCTACTTCAATGGCAGCGTCCTTTTGTGGGAAGAAAACAGAATGAATTACTCTAGGATCTTATATACTCTAAACCTCCATAGACTATTTCAGTACAAACCTCCACTGCGTCTCAATCCACCATGGAACTTGAGTAAGGGTTAACTGGCATAGTCTCTGTTCTGCGGGATGTTACGAAGAGAGGGGCGCTGACATGGGAGGGAGAGGGAAGAGAGACTTCGATGACGATGGGGATGTTTTGGTCGCGTCGGCACCGAGTCAAAACTAAAACTACCATTTATTTTCTTAAACCCTATATGTGATTTACCGATAGCTCTACGTTGGATATTTACAAAAATGATTATTTTTTATTGAGAATTAAAGAAAATAACTTTCACCCGGTTCCGAATTCAATTTAAAGAGAGAAAATAAAGGAAATGGGTAGAAGTGGGAGGAAAGTAAGAGGAATTGGTGTTCCCGAGTTTCATTAAAGGAAGGAAGTGGAAAGAAATGGAGGGATCACTTTCCCTCTTAATTTTTCTTCCGATTTGGAAGGATTTTGAGAGAAAGAACAAAATGTTTAACTTTTCTTCCATTTCTTTCCAACTCGGGAACACAAAACACAAATTTCTTTTCCTTTCTCTTCTCTTCTTTTCTCTCCTTACTTTCTTTTATTTTCTCTGCTACAACTCGGAAACGGGGTGTTATATTTGTGCATTTTACATGCCAATAATTCTAAAACCGATTTCATATTTTATGTCTTATTTATTTGTGTAAGGGTCACTCTATCTAAAAGAAATATGAAATATGATACCCATTACATCATGATATAACTTTTAAAATGTTTTCCAAATACAAACATAAATTTGATTGGGGGAGAGAGATTCAGATTTCGTCTTCTGCTTTGTTTTAATATTTTATTTACATTTTCTCGTTATTTATTATAATATAGAAAATAATAAAATGAAAATCTTCCAGAAAAAATGAAGCCCTTGTCCGAAATATGATGAACTAATTCAAAACAATTATTGTTTTTGTTTTATTTACATACGATAGTAAATAAAACATTTTTGTTTTATTTATGTAGTGTGCCTCATTAGTTAGGTATATATGCATTATAATGTGTTATTAAGTATTAGTTTGGTATGATAGTGTGTCCAAAATGCTAAGGGGTTGTTTGATATTCGTCTGAACGAGTCGGGTCAGACGTATTTTGCTGACTCGGTCAACTGAGGTTTTTTGTTAAACCAAATTAGGTTGGCTGACTCGATAAGAGAAGTCTGGGCGAGAAAGCTGAGAATCGATCGCTGACTGTGAATCTTTTCCTAATTTGCCCTTGTCTTACCGTTCCTTCTCTCCCTTTCTTTCACTCTTGGTTTCAACCATTTTGAATGATGTCTCCTTTAAAACGATCGATGAGAGTATTTTAGGTTAAGGATAAAATAACTTTCCCTGAAATTTTTAATTGCAGGTTCAACAACAGAAAACAATGCATCATCCATTATTGTTGTGTCGCTGAAAAGAAGAAACATATCCATGTTTCTGAAAATGGCAAAGTTGGTCCCTGAAGCTCTTCATGTTGACATAACATACCATAATACTAATTTATATCAAATAAAAATTGTTCATTATTAAAAACACCAAAAAGAAAAAGGGTGTTTGTGAATGAATAAATAAACTAGAAAATGTTTTATAGTTTTTTTATTTAAGTTTCATATACATCTTGTATGCTAGTAATTATTATTTTTTTATAATGTTTGGATTTATTTTTCAGCAATTTTATCCATCACTGTCAACAAGGTAAAATTGTCATTTTTTATCAATCAACACATTCAGTCAGATGTACAATCAAACAATATGGTTTCTTACTTAGTCAAGATTTCTAACCCATACAGATCTTTCCCAGTCAGCACTTTCTCAATCAGCAACTATCAAACGGCTCCTAAATGTTAGTATGGAACATGATGAATTTATCCAAAACGCTAAGCGTTACTCCGGAACATGATGAACTAATATTAACTTGGTTTACTAATCCAATATTTTAGCACAAATGTGTGTTTCTTCATACTTAACATTAGTCTGGAAATTATTGTGAAGCTACATTCAGAAACACCGTTCGCACTAGTATTTGAAAATAACTTATAAAATCTAAATTTTAAGTTCAAAACATTCAAAATATTTTTAGTTGTGGGAAAATGCTCCAAAGTTATAAATCATGAGATTTTAAAATATGTGAGGGTTAAGAAATACATACAATGAAAAGTATCTTTAAAGTGTAAGTTCTAAGACTTTAATCTTCATATCTTACTTAAATATAGATACATGTAAAAACAATAAGTTAGGTTTGGAAAGTTTGGTAAGTTAACCCTAGAGTCAACTCTTGGAGGAAAAAGGATATTGGTCAAGAATCCAAGTTCAAAAAAACATTTCAAAACTAAAATTTCCCATTTTAGGGTAGAATCATTTCCAAAGGAAATCAAGATTTCAATATGTTCATAAAAATTACCAAGCGTAAGAAGAAGTAACTTAATATAATATTAACACAAAATGCAATGGCAAGTCAATAATTCAAATATGTTATGCATATATCTTCAAAACCCCCAACTCGAGTCATCTCTAGTCCACAACCTCACCAAAAAACACCTTAAGTGCAACCACCACAAGTCACTGCAATTCACCACAACATCATAATATGACACCTCAGCATCATTTGCATATGAATTTTTTAGTTTATTATTATAATTTTGATATGGCTTTGATAATTCTACCAATTGTAATATCTTATTCTAAAATTAAATGATTATATATATATATATATATATATATATATATATATATATATTAATTTTTGATATAATATTTTCAAATCAGATCAATTTATTATCTTTCCACTAAAACGACCCAATCATTTATTTTTTATTCGTATAAAAGTGTATTACCGTAGTAAAAAGGATTATTTGTTATAATTGTAACATCCTGTTTAAATAAAATAAAATTAATTAATTAATAAATCAATAAATAATAAACCCCAAAACCCTGATAGCAAGAACAGTGAGTAAACTCACTTCAATTAGAAGATAGCAAATCGCACACCCAAGTCTGTTGCCCAACGACTCCTCACATTGAACACAGTCAATACCAATCCTAGTTACTCCACCAAGGTCTTCTTCCACTTCAATGAGTCTAAAAACCACCAAAGAATGCTTTAATGTCACAAAAATGGCTAAGGGCTTCAAGTAGGTCGAGATTAGAGTTTTCGGGAGGTAAGAGAGTGAGGGAGGCTAAGGATGGGCAACCCTAGCCCTCTCATTCCATTAAATACCCGAATTATTAGGGTTTTGGCCATCAGACCATTCTCGTGTCATGAGCACCCAAAGGCTCACGTCGTGAGACTAAAAAAACTCGGGTCAAAAAGTCGATGCCACTCACGACGTGACAACCATGTCTCACATTGTGGCCCTCATCCCAAAAGCTAGAAAATCAATAAATAAGTACCTCCAAGACCCAGGTGTTACACTATATGTTGTGGGTTCGAAACCCTTTCTTCTTTCTTCGTCCTTCATTACCTATCCTTTTTCATATAATGGTTTTGTAATGAAATTAAGTTTGAGGAGGAAAAAAAAAACTCTAGCAGGCTCGAACTCACGACCTTCATAAGGAGATGATTCTTAGCACTACATTAAGGAGGAGTATGGTACCAACTCGAGAATATCAAATACCAAAATGGATAAAAAAAAACGATACCAACTTACCGAGCATCGAACCAAACTAACATTATTGGTATCGGTATGGTATCGATTTTCAATACTAGCACCGATACTACGACACCAAATCCCAAGTTTCATGATTTTAGGGTACTAATTACGGGTATATATTAACATTAACATTGTGGTGTCTGTACTAGTTTGAGTCAAAATTTTCGATAGTCTTACTCACCTATACACTAGACCATCTTGATCTTATTGTTAGATGTTCCTTCATATCATTTTTAATTGCATGGCTTCATAGAGGGTACCTTAATCACTAAAGTTGGTACTACAAACTTATAAGGCTAAAGGGACTTAGCATGTTGTTGCATAGGATTTTTAAATTTTTTTCATAACATCTAGGCTTAGCATGTCTAGCACAAAAAATATAGGGAGTGGAAGTGTGAAAATTTAATAGGTTTAATTGTGGAGAAAAAAAATTAAAATATATAAAGAAATACAAATCAACCAATCACAATACACTTTCATACTTTATCTCTCCTCTCTTCTCGCTACACCCATGACATCTCTTCTTAGCACCCTCCTTGGCATAAGGTAGGGAGTGGTGTAGCACCTTTAGCACGTTTCTTAACACCTCCATTCCTTTTAACCTAAAAATTACCAAAATATCTTCATGTTTGAGTTAATGTCGAGTCTACATAAGTATCTTAGGAACTTGTTGATTATTTTTAAGTCCGCATAACACCACTACTACATACTTGTTAGTTATTTTTGAAAAAAAAAATGAGCTGATTTTGTTATTTTTTGAAAAGTTAGTTAGATCAAAATTAACAATAAACAATGTGTTTTTTGAGATTATTGTGTTAATTTTATCCTTTTCTATTTTGACTCGGAAAAAATCAAAATCAAATCGTCACCCCTAAGTACAAAACCGCCGGCATTAGGGTTCCGAACATTGAAAAGCTCTAGAACAGATAACTTCCATCTGTATCCTCCTCTTCGGTCTCAGGAAATGGCAATGGCGGCATACCTTTCTAGAATCGCTAGGCTCTCTGCCTCCCATCAAAACCCAGTACGAACCTTCTCCTCATCCATAACCCCTTTTTCATCATTTCGCGCTTTGAAATCTGCTATCAAAACGGAAGAAGACCCACTTAAGATCGCCAAACTCTTCGAATTATCCATTTCC